GGTTGGAGATTTACAACAATTTCTGGCTAATTTTTCTCTGGTAAATTGTCTTACGGTTGTTCTCTTTTTATTTCCACAGCACAACTTTCACCCCCTCAGACAAGCTTCAGGTCATCCAACTGACCTTCGAGGAGATAACCCAGGAAGTACTTGCACTTCTGAAACAGGATTTCTTGTGGTCTATGGATGACCTGTTTCCTGTCTTCCTCTTTGTTGTTCTGCGTGCACGGTAAGAATGAGATCGCAAGGTTTCGAAGGCCCCTGTTTTTTGTATGTATGTATGCATCTACACTACCTTTCAGTTCAGTACCTAGAGTTTTTAAATGTTTTTGAAAGAAGACTCTTATGGATGCCAAGGCTGCATTTATTTGATCAAAAATATAGTAAAAACTGTAATAAAATTTCACATTATTACAATTTAAAATAACTGTTTTTCATTTGAATATATTTTAAAAATTAATGTATTCCTGTGATGCAAAGCTGAATTTTCAGCATCATCACTCCAGTCTTCAGTGTCACATGATCCTTCAGAAATCATTGTAATGTGCTGATTTGGTGCTGAAGAAACATTTCTTATTATAATTAATGTTGAAAACAGTTGTGCTACTTAATATTTTTGTAGAAATCATAGTACATGAAGATGCATCTTGGCTGACTAATTATGATCAGATCACACAAGACAGATACACTTACTAGGCATAAATGTGGTCTCAGAGAGAGAGGATGTGTTCCATTTAGAATAAATGTCTTTTTATATGCATATGCTTTAGCACAGAAAATAACATTGTTTAAACAAAGGCATGCTTTAGTTGACATAGCTATTGTTCTCTACAGGATAAGGAATCTGGGGTCAGAGGTCAGCCTCATCGAGGATCTAATGGATCCATGTGTACAACATGGAGAGCATGGCATCATGTTTACCACACTCAAGGTATAGTATAAGGGTTTTTCACCAAAAAGTTTTTGGTTACGTAGTATATGTGTGTGCACTGTGTATATTTTATATGTGTATATTATAGTATATATAAATACACACATGCATGCATTTAAAAAAAAATTAAATCAAAGTTGTTCTAAGACAAGAATGCATTTTGGTTTTAGGTTTTAGGACAACTTTGATGAAAGGTTTTGATCCACTTCAAATGTTGACAAGTGTGTATATATATATATATATGTGTATGTGTAATTAAGTATTAATTTGCTTTGTACAGTTGCAGCAACTTTTATGTGATGTGTTCACCACTGAGAGAAACAGTTAATAATGTCTTAATTGGAGTGATTAAGATTTACTTGGTAAAAATGCTACAAATGTGTTGTCATCTACCATTTAAAGTAATTATCCTCATAAATATGCAAATAAGCATGTTATCTCTGGGCTTACAAATATACAGTGTGAAATCAGTGTTTGTACTAATTGCTGGTCTGAAATCCTCCTCCTCTTCCTCACTCAGGCATGCTACTATCAAATCCAGCATGAGAAGATCACGTAATGAACACATCTCTCCAAACCCATCTGGTAAGGCAGTGGAATGACTGACAAACAGACCAGCCAATCAAAGTGTTCAAGACACAAAGTGGGAGGAGCCAATCATGTTCCATGCATGGATCACATGGCTGAGGAGGTTGATTCCATTGGAATCTGAGCTCTCACACTCAAACAGTCCAGTTTATGTGCAAGTCCGTCTTTGGTTTTGCAATTATTAACATTTATTCTTTAAATGTTTGTGTCTTCCTCGCTCAGAAACCATTATCAAGGCTTTTTAACTGCTGCCATTCCATCATGTTAAAGGTATTTATGTACTCCAGCTCAGTGTTCTTTTATTAAAGAGCCCATGCTTTGTTGGCTCAGAATGAATGACATTCAAGAACAGCATGTCATGATCACCTCTCCCTCCATGCACACACTGGTCAATCCAGTGTCAACGGTCAATTGATGACGTATGAAGTTCATAAGTGTACTGTAAGACATCTGAAATAATGGTCATCTACCTCTACTACATACATTTTCCTGATCTTATTATATCATTCAGTGCAAACAGCAAACTGCCTTGGACCTCTGTTCACATAAATCAAAAAAGATGTGCGCCTTTTTTATGAATGTCCAAGAAAAAAACACAAAATGCGGACTTTAACTTTTAATGCTGACTTCTGATCCATTTAGAGCTTTCATAACCAACTGCTTCTTTATGTACAAATCTTCGTTCACAAGCTTAGGATTGAAATGGTTGACACTAAACTGAGGTCAACACATTTTTTGTTCTTTCTCTATGCGCTCGCACAGCAGTTTTGTTTTGATGCACTCTTCTTTCTGGGAAGTATTTTTGTGGTCAGTTTTCTGAAAATGTTCAAATCTTTATTTCAGAAAACGGTTGGAATAGTTTCAGCTTTCCTCTGCATTTTTGAGTATCCGTCTGCAATGTTTGAGTTTTTTAGTGAATGTCACTGGCACACTGGAAGAAGACGTTGAAACGTGAACCACAACACTCAAGATTTGCATGCGGAGCTAATTCGGTCTTGAAATGTATTTTCTGCATTTTGCTGTTGTTAAATTAAGCAGTTATTGCAGAAAAGTCACTCGACATACGCAAGCACTGTAGTATTCAATGTTAAAATCAGTTCTTTTTTGTGAAGTATTCTGAAAAGTGCCTCTGACAGTGTTATGGACTTGTGTCATTACATCTCTGTACCCAGCAATAGCTTCGAGTTGAGTCTCACGTTTTAAAGCTCAACAGCCTAATACATTATTTCTTTTATTGACATTGTTTTATTTATTTGATGGTTAGATCTGGCTACAGCACAGATAATCTGAGCGATGTAGATAATCTGCAGGGTATTTCACGTTCAGAGCACCAGAAGGACGGTGGGTTTGTATAAATGGTCACAAACCCCATTTCCAAGAATCAGAGATCAGGATTTTGACGCTTGCGTGTGATTGTATGTTCCTAAACGTAATCGTGAAAACTGTAATGAAGAAAGACTGTGGATGTTTACAACCATTAACACTTGAGATGTTCCATGAATACCATAGTTCATAGTTGTACTTTGGGTTCAGGAAGGTACGGTTTGTACTTCCACATCAGTTTTTCTATGCTGAGCCAAGGTGTGCATATTAACCTGTGTATGAATGTATGTGTGTGCAAGTACGTATGAAGTTTCTGTGTCATTTTTGAAGAATACTGTTTGTTCCAATTGTTTACTGACTCATAATTCAGATGGATGGCAATAAAACAATGATTGGGAATTGAAATGGTCATCTTCAGTATTTTACTAGGCCTTTATTACAACAACAACAAAAACTGTTTTCCAAAACTTTATTGGTTGAACAAGTCAAAAAGTTTGCATTTGGTGCTGGGGCATTTAAGAGGCATTTATATTGGTCTATTTCCACTGTCAAGGTGGCAAAAACATGTTCACCAGTGACTTTCGAACCCTTCCATTGGCATTTGTTTTTGCAAAAATAATTACAGTCATGCTGCATTTGCATAATAGCAAATGTATAATAGCTTCTAGTTACAAACTACCACATATTTTGATTGGTCGCTTGACCATTGATGTCAACAACAAATGAAGAAGAAATGGTAAGTGTTTCTTCTTTCTTATAAAAGTTCATAAGCCTATTTATTTGCTATCCTATGCCTGATTAAATGGTTTGTAGCATTTTAATATTTGCGTTTATTATTTGCAGGCTTGTCAGAATGGACAAATCTTTGACACGTTTTTTAACTGCTTTGGCCTTAAAGGGTTAGTATCAACATCTCTTTGAACTTTTTATGTTAAACTAATTTTTGGATAGTAGAGAGAGCAATGAGATTAAGTATCAAATTATGAAAATTGGAGAGAAAAAAATTCCAACTCATGGAGCTCATGGGGCATCCAACTAAAAATGCTCTGGATCATGTTGTATTAAACAGAATTTCGTTTTATTTGGACTTTAAACAATATAAAGTGTTTCAAACCACTCTGTCGTAATAAAAGGTGGAGTCAGTAAAAGAAATATGGGAGACCATATCAATGATTAGGTGCCACTTAAACGGATAGTTCATCCAAACATCATTCACTCCGTTTCATTTTGTTCCAAACCTAAAATCTAAATTCCTCTCATCTGCAAAACGCACAAGTACAGTGGCGATCAAATTAGAGAACAATCTATAAATACTTGTTTTTTTTCTGAAATATTGTTCATCTTCATCGCTCATACTTTAAATGGAATATTAGCTGCATATACCGCTTTTCTACTAACATGTTTGACAAAAAGAAAAAACTATATTTTGTGGAAAGCACAGTAGGTTTCTTAGCCATAACTTTGTCGCCAAATAAATGTTTCCCATCAGACTCAAATTAAACTTGCTCTCAGTGAACTTTGGACAAGTTCTCCTCTCTCCACACAACATGCTTCTCAGCAAAGGTGAGCTTAGCCTTTTGAATCTTTCTGCTGATGAGGGTCTTGGCCACTGCAGAGTGCGATTTCACTTCGACTTCTCTTAAACAGGCCGAGACAGATCCTTACCCTGTTCAGCGCTGAACTGGCAAGCAATTACAGCTGCAGTGCTGAACCGATTCCCTATTGAGAGTCTCCGCATTATCCTGTCCTCTCATGGGCAGTGTGATAAAAATCAAAAAACAAGTGTGACTGTGTCATTCGCTCCGCTGTTTTAATCAAGAGGATTACATCCCACATATGTGTGCGTATGTGATGCAGAATGTATTCAGTGTGGGATCATCAGATGTTTAATATGTGTTGTGAGTGTTTACGTGTTATGATGAATCAATAACTGAAAGCCTAAAGGAGTTTTGTGATAGAATGACGTTTGAAAGAATGTGAAAGGACATTCACTCACAGACACATCCTGACACACTCTCCAATCCCTCCCTTCCTAATTTCCTCCTTCACGTTCCTACACACTCTCTCTCCTCGGTTGACTCATTTGCTTGCAAGGGATTAAGCAGGATAGAGAGGGATTACACTTCTTTTTTCCAAGAGGACTTTTCCGTGCTCTGCTATGGTATACTATTCACGTTATTCCTCCGTTTATGCCATCATATCTGAGTGAGTTAAAACTGGCCATCATCATGCAAACCTTCTTTAGAAGCTCTTCAGTGTGTTAAATTCTAAACTGGGATATAAACAGAGAAGACAAACGGAACGTGAGGGAAGAAGGAGGTGAGTGAACAGGATTTGCTACTTAAATCTCTGCCTGGATGTGGGTTTGTGGTCCTTGCTTCCCAGACTTATCTACGAGGAAGCTCCCTGTGTGACAAATGTAGTATGCTGTTTATTTACAGTAATTATTAGCCCTTCCTTGTGTGAGTTCCTGGGATTCTCCAGTTGGATTCAACATTGTAAATTCTAGACATATCCTGCAGTCAACTATCAGATTTGGTTATGCAAATGGGCTCAAATGCAGAAACACTGAGGTAAAACCATTTTTAAAAGGACAGTAACTCTCAGAAAGGATATTTGAAAATATGACGTGAAGAGTTTTATATCACACCCATTTAGTCATAAAGTCTGAAATTAGGTGCACCCGTCTTGTTCAAAAGATATGTAAACTAATATCCAGTATTCACCTGTATTCTCCAGTATTCCAATATCCAATATTCACCTGCAGTGATCATAACAAATCATGTTTAGAAACATGCTCTTTCATCTGTTATTGTTAAGTAGCATTTTTTTTTTATCCAAAGCCACTCAGGGTGCAGTTATTACCAGGACAGGACCCTTAGAGTAACCTGTACTTAAGTGTTTTGCTCAAGGTCAAAACTGTGACAAGGGCATTCATGGACCACCTCCATTCTGGGATTTCTGGATTTAACCTAAAACCTCTGGGTTATCAGCCCTTACTCCTTAACCAGTTAATTTCCTTTAGTTTGCGTATTCAATTAGTTGTTTGGAATGTGTTGTCGACTACAGAAATACCAGAAACTACATGTATTTTTCAGGCTCTTCTCTCAGCTCATGACACAGTAAGTTTGAGGGACTATGAGCCAGATCTGCCACCACTGCCTAAAGACCTGCCTGAAGACGAGGAGGCCATGAGGATTGTTTGCTTGGTCAAAAACAATCAACCTCTGGTGAGCATGACCAGTAAAATGAGTGGCAGGCAAATCTAAGGCTTGCTTTTACTAACCTGTGATTTATTTTGACTCTTTCAATACGTTACTGAAGCCTGTCTTTCAGATCAGCATAGCAGCAAGGTTCAGTTATAAAGAATTGTTAAAAACCTTGTTGCTTAGGAAGAGCATATTTAGACATGAGGTTTTTCCTCCTATATTTCTTATGTTTTAGATTGTTAATTTTTTAAGTTCACTAATAGCTGACCTGATCAAGTGTTCTAGTAAAAGTGTTTCTGGTAACTTTGAGCTGTGTGTTGTCATGGATAGACTGGAGCTGGTAGAGAGTTTCAAAGCCACTGGGACGCTTTAAGGCACGCAACCCACTATGGACTCTTCTCAGCTGGGAGACGTCTGGCTGGAGGCTTAGATGCCATGTTGGATGGTTCCACATCCACCAAGACTCCTGCGTCCCCAAGCGTTATTGCTCCCACCACTGTACACCACTGCAACGCTTTGGGCAGTTGCCACCAGAACAAAACATTATGGAAACAGAGCCTCAGTTCCTCCACCCCTTGTGTCTGTAGCTCTGTTGTAATTGGTAAGGACCAAAACCCTGTATTTGGAGGTTCCCATTATTACATCCATCGAGATTTGCGACTTGTATGCCTCTGCTGAAAGCATTATCTAATTAGTGTTCTTTGTCTTCTTGTCTTCATTCATTTCACCATTCATTTCTCATTCTTTCTCTGAAGACAATTTGATTGACAATTTGGACAGTGGGGACAAGAGTGATTGCAGTTCTGTGCTACATAAATTTTCCCAACCGTCCCCATGGATTTCCTCATCATCTTGCTGCTTTCATGCTTCAAATCCTTCTCCAAAACCTTCTAGAACCACCCCTCACGCCCAAACCGCTCCCCCAAGCCCAATGCACTGTCATCGGGTAAGGGAGACCATCACATGCTCCCATACAAGGCCGGCAAAAGAGGAAGGTCTGAATGAATTGTGGAATACATTGCAGCAGGCCACCAGCTGCATGGAGCGCAGTTCTGAAAACGTACACCTGCTTGGTGAGAGGATGGCCGCAGCTACCGAACGCATCTCTGAGAGCGTGCAGGAGAATTCTCAGGCTTTGGAGATGCTAACGCATGTAGTGGAGAAGCTCCAAGAGCTAGTATCCACAAGCAACACAACTTCAGAATCACCACATGGCACAGAGACTGCAAGTAGAGTGGTTAACCGGATGGGTAGCAGATCGCTCAGTGTTCCCAACAGTCCAGCTATTGCCTCATCCTCTCGCTTTCCTCATTGTCCTTCTGGCTCCTCTTCCTCCTCTTCTTCTTCATCTGCCATCACTTTGCTGGAGAAGCCAGTGCTATCAAAGGGTAAATCTTTTAATGCCAAAACAAATCCATCACCATCTTCTCAAAGGAGACAGGTTGATGTACAACACCGGATGACCAATGGCTCCTTGACATCCAGCCCTGCCCAAAACCGCAAAGTGAATAGCAGCACATTTAGATGTTTCATTAGCCAGAAGAAAAAGAAAAACAAGAAAAATGAATAAGGCCACTTCCACGTTTCCACGGTTATGAACATCCTTTCATATTCTTGCTGTCTCAAGCATGCAGGTCTTTCAAATCTTTAATATGTGTGTGTTCTTCTGATATGTCACCACTGCTCATTGATTTTACCATTGTCACATTAGTGCTTGTCCAACCTTTTTGGAAGTGATATTTTGAGTGTTTTGTTTGTTTTTTTTAATTGGTCATTCTCATTGGTTTAATATGACTGTTCATTCACATATCATAATTTCTCTTAATTTTTTGATTATTCTTTAGATTTTTTTAAAGATCATTGCAGTTCATTTAGTCATTGAATATTGTTCCTGTCATGCCACTTCCATCAGATGTCTGATGAATGCATATTTTGTGCTTGATTCATATCAATTGAAGCCTTGTAGATATTTGGATTGATGTCTGCTTTCTTCTAACATATAGGGAGCAACAATCAGGAGAGATGATGTGACAGGAGAAATATACATTGCTCGTGTTATACATGGAGGACTGGCTGACCGCAGTGGTGAGTGTTGCCTGGCTGTACTATTTTTCTGAGTCCCTACTCTCTATTTTTGTATATTAGTATTAAATTTCTCATGGAGTCCTGTTTCTTGTCTGTTTGCTTGTTGTTGAAGGTCTCTTGCATGCTGGAGACAGGCTGGTGGAGGTAAACGGCCATCCTGTATTTGGATTGGAACCAGAACAGATTATACAAATTCTGGTTAGTACACATACAGTATACTCTCCTATAATATGTTGTTCCACAGCATGGTATTCTGTTACACTTGTGTGCTTCATTCCCATCCGGGTCACGGCACCAGTGTCAAGTCAAGTTGCCTTTATAGCTTTAGACTGATCTGTATTGATTCTCAGCAATCTGAAACAAATTCAATTCAGCTATAAGCAGTTCTACAAAAGGCAGCAATGTCATTAGCCAATTTAGTGTCAACGTCATTTTTGCAATATGTGATTCAGCTGTAAAGTAGCTCTACAGAAAACAATAGTGCCATCATTTTTTTACAGTAAGGGATCCCAAACCAAGGATCTGCTGTACCACACTACGATACTATGATAACTATGATAAAGAACACTATATTCCCACCAGTCCAGCGATTGCCTTATCCTCTCGCTTTTTTCATTTGTCCTTTCATGCTCCTCTTCCTCCTCATCTGTCATTACTGTGCTAGAGCAACCAGTGCTATCAAGGTACAGCAAGGTATCCTAAACCAAGGATCTGTTGTACCAAACAACAACTATTCCCATTTCATTTAATGGGGAATCTGTGATCAACAAGTAAATAATGATAAATCATCAATAGTCATTCATTTTTGTGTCTTCATTTCCTACCACAGGCTCACTCCCATGGAACCATAATGTTTAAGGTGGTTCCCATCACTGACAGGCCAGTCAACAACCAAACCATGGTGAGTTAACAAATCTCAACACTAGATCTACATTAGTCTATATACAATATTAGTCTAGATCTGTTTGAAAAAATATTGTGCATCCAGTTCCCTGAATTAAACAGTATATTTGGCTCACTGGGAGTTTTCAGAAAAGCAGGAGAACCAACTATTGAAACAATGACACACACTACTTTACTTTCCCCAAATGTGCAGCACACAACATTTCAAAATGCATTTGCTTTGACCTTCAATTTGCAGTATGACGAATGTTCCAGAAGTAAAACCAGCTTAACATCTTTATCTTTGATAATTATTTTATTAGACTAACAAGAATAAAAACATTTTATACAAACTTGGAAAAAAATACATAACTGTTTTTATGTCCAAAAACATTATTAGATTCTACAGATTAAATTATGCATGCAGTGAGGTCATCATGTGACAACACATTGGCATACTACTGATGTTTTTAATGGCTTTGCTCTCCTCACAAGCTGTATGTGCGTGCCATGGTGGACTACAATCCCCACATGGACCCTTCCATTCCCTGCGCAGATGCCGGCATGGCATTCAGGAAGGGAGATATCCTGGAGATTGTGGATCAGTCAGACACTCTCTGGTGGCAGGCTGTAAAACTACCCAGTATCTCTGCCTGCGCTGGCCTCATTCCGTCCACCAGCTTGCTGAAAAGGTCAGTTCTAAGTAGTCAGGGGTTAAAGTTCGGTGACAATAATTACACATCAGCATAGGCTGTGTGATGATGTGATGAGATTTGGCAGCGGACTTGAATGTGATGTGAGATTATGCTGATAATCACTGCCGGCCCCAATTTTAAAACCCAAATGTGACTGTGTGTGCATTTGTAGGAAGCAAAAAGAGTTATGGTGGTCTCAGCCTTATCATCCTCACACTTGTGTCAAAACCTGTGAGTAAACAGTATATGCTGTTATTGAATTATATTTGCGTTTACTCAATATGGTTTTAATTCAACTGTTTTGTATCGGCTGTCTTTTGTTTCCATGCTAACATGCAGTGAGCACAGTGGATGAAGGTGAGCATTTAGTCCAGTCTAGAAATACACTGACCTGTAGGTTACAATGTTCACACTGCCCACCAAAATAGACTTACAAGGAGTTTAGCAGAAGTGTGGGCACAGAAAATATGGTAAAAATGCACTACAAACCTTTTTTTAAATAATTATTATAGTTTCTAACATTGTAACTATTTATCAACAAAGTCTTTTGCATTATAGGCTTTTATGAATCTTGGAAAATGTTGGTGGGATCAAGCCACTCAATACATCTTTTGTGGTTTATGCAAGTTCCATACACCGAAACATGAACATAAACAGCACTTTAAATATTCAGTAAATCCAGTTGATTTACTACACTACTGTTCAAAAGTTTGGAGTGGGTAAGATTTGATTTTGAAAGAAGTAATGTATTTGAAAGATGATTTGTTATGCTTACCAAGGCTGCATTTATTTGATCAAAATACAGTAAAAACAGATATATTGTGAAATATTATTACAATGTAAAATAAGTGCTTTTTTTATATTATGTTATCTGTGATTCGTTCCTATGATGCTAAGAATTGAATTTTCAGTATCATTACTCCAGTCTTCAGTGTCACATGATCCTTCAGAAATCATTGTAATATACTGATTTGCTGCTCAAGAAACATTTCTTATTATCAATAATAAAAAAGTAGTGCTGCTTAATATTTTTGTGCAAACACTGCTTGTGCATGCAATGTGAAACAGACCTTAGTCTCTGATATCTTTCTTTTTTCCCCCACTTTTTTATTCTTACAGAAGATGACATGAATTCCATAGATGAAAAATGTGTAGAAGCAGGTATTTCCTTGCCTGATTTAAATGAGTATTAAAACCTTAGCTATATAATGCTTGTTATACTTATACATATGTGTTTTTGTTTCCTAACACGCAGATGAGGAGGCGTTTGAATCTGGTAGGTAAGTCCTGGGAGAAACATGTACTGAATTCAGATTTAGGGTCAATGTTTCCGTCGTTAACAGAACTGCCCCCTGACCTGAACTATAGAAACAGCTAGATTTGTTAAGAAATATGGTATTAAAGATGAATTTTGGTTACAGATTTTTGAGTGCAGCAGTAAATACTGTAAATAAATTGCCTCTGATCACTTTTGTTCCTGTTTCCTTCTTGATGATTCATCAGAAGAGCTAAAGGATGGTGAGTGTATATAACTCAGTACTGTAGAAATCATAAAGTTTAATATTAATTGCTGTTGCTGATTTGATTTTTATTTCAATGAGTCATTGCTAATTGTTCTGTGTTTGTTAATTGATGCATTAACTGTGTCTGGTGTTGTGCTTCAGAGGAGAGTGAATTCAGCACCAATATTGAAGGGATTTACCTGAGTGAGTGACTCTCAGATATTACAGAATTTACTGGTTTATATTTACTACAGCAGATTTACGGAAGTCCATTTCTGCCACGGACCATAAAAAATGGCAAAAGCTAATTACAACTTTTGTACATCTCACAATTTAGACCCACCCACCCCCCCACACACAATTGTAAGAAAAAATTATTGCAATTCATAGTTCATATCTCTCAATTCTGCATCTATATGTCATAATTCTGACCCCCTCCCCCCCACAGTTTTTTCCCCACATTAAGATAAAAAAGGTTTTATCTTACAAGTCTGTCTTTTTTCCTCATAATTGTAAGTTCATATTTCAAAATGTAGACTTTTCTTCTCAGAATTGCCAGTTTATATCTCAAATATGCAAGTCAGAACTGTAAGATAAAATTTGCAATTACCTTTTTATTTTTTTATCCAATGACAGAAATGGGCTTCCATGACATTTCAATGGTTCACAGCATCCTAACACTGACTAGATAAAGGCAACTTTGGTTGGTTTTGGTTTAGCTATGACTTTGTTGTAGATACCTACATTTTGCACATACTAATGATTAAAGTGAATGAATATTGACCAGTCAGGTAGAAGATGATATAAAAGCTGTCTTTTTTTTTTAGATGTTAGTTTGGTTGTAAAATCATTATTACATATTATATGCATTGATTATATTACATTTAAAAAATAAATACAACACTTTCCACTCGTTAACTTTTCTGATTCTGTAGCATCATATGATTCTTTGCATTTATGATTGTGCTTTTATTCTGTGTACATCTTATTGTGTGTATGCCAGCTGGTTTTCGACGAAGTCTGCGTCTCTGTCGCCAACGGAGAGGTCAGGCATTTGGAACGTCCCAGTTCTGCACCCTACGCTGTCCCACGAGCTGTTACAGTTCACTGGCCAAACCGTATGAGGAGGTGGTGCGGTACCAGCACCACCCAGAGCACCCACACCGCCTCATAGCTCTGCTGGGTGAGTGTGTCTCACGGGGCTAAAATCAGCCAGCATATTACCTTGTAGATCTTGTACAACTTACTGTAGCTGCGTCCCTGCATGCGCATTATCATGTATGTTCTGAAACCGTATTCTGCCGTCAGGTCCGTCTGGGGTCGGGGTAAATGAGTTACGCAGGAGAATAATTGAGATCAATCCCAAGGTCTACCAAGGAGCCGTTCCCCGTGAGTTTCATTCTACATATATGACTTTGTGTGATATAATTGTACATATGTAAAAATGTACATGCGTGCTGATTTTGAAGTTGACTTTAATTTCCACTTAGATACCACAAGGCCACCCAAATGCCATGAGGAATCTGGCAGAGAATATCACTTTATCAGCCGAGAGCAGTTTGACACCATGGTCTGCAATCACAGGTGGTCTAAATATACTCGGCTGTGCATAAACAGATAATGTTTCCAGATTTACTATGTTTTTGGGAGGGACTGTATAATCTTTCTATTGTTTTGTAATCTTAAGTAGGTCTGTGACCCTTTTCTTTCTTTCTTCCTCAGGTTTATTGAGTTTGGGGAGTTGAGAGGTCATCACTATGGCACTAGCGTGGATGCGGTTAAAGATGTTTTGGCGAGTGGGAAGATCTGTGTGATTGACATTGAGCCATATGTGAGTTTCTCTTGGAACTATATTCATCTGTTGTTATAAGTGGTGCTTGCTAAGGTTTATTGCTAATATTTTGGGTTAGGAACAACCCCTTAACTCGTGTTCAGATCTGTTGAAGAGAAGAGTGTTATTTTAGTGTTATTAATATACTATCTATACTACTATATACTATTTTTAGTTATTGTTAACTAAAAATTTGACTACAAAAACATTTTAGTTACTTGAAATAAAGCTCAAATAAAATGTAAAATACTATAGTAGATGAAAAATGTAAACTGAACAAAAGAAATCCTGCCATGGCAACTTGCTGAAATAAGTTGAAACACTAAAATTACTAAAATAATAATTAAAAACTAAAGCTGAAAAAATGTAACTTTTAATTTTAGTTACATTTCTGTAATTTTTGGGTGCTTTTGCCATTTTCATCATTTTCTTATCATTATGTTACATATATATTTAAATATTACTATTTCGGTTTAATTCATTTTTGTTTCAGTTTTAGTTTTTATTTCCAGTTAGTAATTTTAGTGCTTCAACTTAGTTGCCCAGTTCATTTGTAATTTTCATTTAAAGTTTTTCATCCAATATTTATACTTTATTTTATTTCCGCTTTATTTCAGTTAACAAACATGCTACAATCATTTTAGTTTTAGTAAACAATAATAACCCTGGAAGAGAATTGTGCTATTATTATGCTACAATAATTGTTTAATTGGATTACACCTGACTTGTTCTGATGCTTTCTATGTTCTTGATCTCCAGGCATTAGAGTCAGTGAGGACTGCCGAGCTGAGGGCGTATGTCATCTTTATAAAGCCTCCTACTGTTGAGCAGATGAAATGCACACGAATGAACTCGCATATCATCACAAATTACTACACCAGCCGACCTTTTAAGGTGAGCTAGCATCTTTACCTATGTCCACTCGATTTATTTTTTACCTTTCAATTTATGGTTAGTGTCTTAAAAGTACAGTATTTCCATTAATCTCTGTATTTTCTCTCTCTCTCGAGACAGGATGAAGATTTTCAGGAGATAGAAGATGCAGGACGCAATATGGAACAGCATTACTGTCAGTTCTTTGATCATGTGATAGTAAACGACGGCCTGCAGGCCGCATGTGTGCAGCTGCTGACCGCAGTGAGGAGAGCTCAGGATGAACCGCAGTGGGTACCGGCTGCATGGATCAGACCAACTGACCAGTCTTAATATGAAGAGCTCAGGGATACTATAGGAGAGCGGATGGGCATGAACATGCAAATAAACTTTTTTTGGGGTGAGGATCATGTGTTTTGTCTGTAAAATGTTCCGTCTGAATGCAAAATATGTTTACATTTTTTTCAGATGTCAATCTTTTCTTCGCCCTTGTGAAAAAATAAATAAAACCTAAACATCTATTAAGCTCTCCAAAAGAGATTTGGTATTTTTGAGCACTCTTAATCCGTTTTAAACTGTATTTGATTGTGAGGATTTTCAGGTCTGGAGTGACAAGGCGTTAATCAGAAGAACTGAACTAACGTCACTTGAGTTGATGTGTTAATGGGACAGTGGAATTTGAAAGAAATTAAACTTTTCACACCTAATGTTATGCACATGTCCTTTTAAGGTTTTCCATTAAAGTCTATTCATAAAAAACAGGTGCTTCTATATTAAAGGTGCTGTATGTAAGTTTTTGACTCTACTAAAGCATAAAAATACTGTAAGGTCCGCGCACCTGGCCCAAGGAAGGTATCCAGTGGCGGATGAAGGTCTCTTGCGTGTTCGGTCTTTTCAGCGCGCCGAGTTATTCAATTTAGGTTTAACTCAATCTGACTCCATTTTAGTATCTGAATTCTAATTTAGGTTGAAAGGCCCATTGGTTGTTTGTCGGTCTCTGATTATTCTTACATTAACTTATTCTAATTAACTCTTTACTTTGTATTTTTTCTCGTTCATTAGGAATCTATGTCGCTTAGGATGCCTCACGGCGGCCGCTATGCGTGGGCTCCACGATCACAAACTCGCCAGTTTGATCCTTATTCAGAGGTTTATGGCTAATACTATTTACTTTAAATAGTAGGTTTGTTTAGCCCCCTACAATTACCCATGTAATGCTCAAACAATAATCAGCGGTTCTTCTAGACCCTTAGTCTAGACCCCAATAGTTATTATAACTACGTACAACTTAATTAACACTTCAAATATTAATCAGCGGTTCTTCTAGACCCTTAGTCTAGACCCCAATAGTTATTATAACTACGTACAACTTAATTAAAGCTGGGAGATCAAAGTATTCTAGTTTCTTTTATCCTTACAATACCATAATATATTTGCAGATATTTAAGAAACATGCTAAGTTGCTGCCGACTTTATTTCAGTGTAGTGACGTATTTCCAGCTGAAACGGAATATTGAGTAGAGGGCAGGGTTTTATTTTTGCGCTCCTCCTCTCTGTCTCTCACTCATAGCAACCTAACGGTTGGAGGGGTGTGTTTAAGGATATTCTGCCCAAGCCATCAAACTGACGTCATCAGAGAATGAATGCGGAAGCAAATGTTCAGATTTTGATTAAAGATTATGAAGACAAACAAATTTTTTCAGCGCATTAACTTGCACGGATTAATTGTTTACATCAAGACTAGCAATGTGCACTAGTAAAGTAAATAAAGTAAATTTTGATTTAATGCGGACTTTAACATACTTGTTTATCTGAAAAACAATGCTACAGTCAGTTATTCTCCTTTGAAAATGTGCGTTCCGGGCCGGAATGTCGGTCTTTGTTTTGGTTTGTGAAACCTGCCCACTGCCAGTTTACCCAATTGTATTTCGGGACCCCGGGTTGCCAGTTGGCATAAAACACAGCGTATTTCATTTCATTCATCGTCAAGTGCGCTCGGTCCTGTTGGTGTCTTCAATCTGGCAACCTGTGTGTGCTTCAAGTCTGAGGAGGAGGGGCGGGGTGGAGAAACCCTCTCCAATATTTTGAATTTGGACTGCAATACCTAGTTCAATCACTAGGTGTTAAACCTACACACAGCACCTTTAAAGAGGTCATATGATGTTGCTAAAAAGAACATTATTTTGTGTATTTGGTGTAATGAAATATGTTTATGCGGTTTAAGGTTCAAAAAACACATTATTTTCCACATACTGTACATTATTGTTTCTCCTCTATGCCCCGCCTTTCTGAAACGCGTCGATTTTTACAAAGCTCATCGGTCTGAAAAGCGAGGTGTGCTCTAATTGGCCAGCTATCCAGTGCGTTGTGATTGGCCGAATTCCTCAAGCGTGTGACGGAAATGTTACCCTTACCATATTGTGATGCCTGCGGCAACCACATGTCACAACCCCAGGCTGGACTCCGCTTTGTCCACGATGAAAGCCGATCCGGCGATCAACAGCGCGAAGTTGATGTATTCCCTCAGCGACCAGCACGGATCAGCTCCAGGCATGACGAAGCGATATCGTCCTCTTTGGAAGGCCAAACAAAGTAGTTTCGCTTTCACAATGAAACACACAGCGCCTTTACTACATGCGGCGGCAGCAACAATACTACAGCGAGAATAAAAGTTACGCCTTCTTTCTTTGCATGAACATTTGAGCGGCGTTATGCAAATCTTCCCAGATAGTGACGTAGGTATGTGGGGAGAAAGACGTTTTTCTAAAATAAATGTGTGTGTGTGTGTGTGTGTGTGTGTGTGTATGTATATATATATATATATATATATGTATAATTTTTTTAATAACTGACCGTTTTACCCATTTCAGTCATAAACTCAGTTATAAAAATTTAGCAAACATCTTTTTATTATTATTTTTTCAAACTTGCATATTTGACATGCCTATTTTCCAGCTCTTGAGACGTTCTTCAAAAATAATTGTAAATAAAAAGAATAAGATATAATAGGATCATATAGTCTTTCTAGACAAACAAGTATTTTAAAACGTAGGTGTAATAAGGCTTTTGTGTACATTGTAGCATGATTTCCAGCCATCTGGCTTGCCCTTTTATACGTATAATTACGTTCTGAATTGCTGCGCGCCTCTAGTACGTACAGTACGTCAGGGAAGTTAGACACGCCCACCCGTCTCCAACATCAACAATAGACAACGTGCAAAACAAAATCTCAGACCACAAACGACATGAAAATACAAAGATAATTTCTGCTCAGTAGGTAACTCGACAGAGCTTTTGTTATTCAACTCCGAAGTATGGATACGGAAGCAAAGGTTTGTTACGTGTTTAAATGAGAAGCATCGTGTTCTGTTGGCAAACAGTTACTGACAGACGCTAATGAAACTACTTCATCCTTTAGTGTGCATGTTCAGAGCTGTTGTTTAAATATTATTATTATATTATATGATTGTAGGTTCCCAGCACAAGGAGAAGAGATCTCCCTCCCATTCCTCAAGGACAGAGGGTAAGTCTGGGATATTCATAACATAGCCTGTGTGTTTGTATCTTCTTGTTGAGCCTTTGAGCTGTTGTTGATAAGTCTTTACATTTCTTTTTAATTTGAGTACAAGCTTCACATTGACAAGCACAACAGTAGTCATAAAGGTCAACTCTCTAGGAGTCTGATGCTTTTGCTCCCCCTGTAGTGTAGGTTTGTAAATGTTGAGGACTAGGCTTTCTGGGTTTATCCATTGCAATCTGTTTAAACCTCTTACATTATGCTTAAGAATATATAGAATATATAGTCTGGATTGAAGCAATACCTTATTAATGCAATAATAAATACAGTCAGTGCTAGGGTGAACATGTACATTTAGATACACATTAGAATAAATCTCAGAAGATAAACCTACTTTTATTGGTAAAAGGGTAAATCTCACAAAAATGGTTGAGAATTGCCTAGATCATATTTGACCCCTAAATCATAAGGACATTTATCCTAATTTGGGGGCTACTAAGGTTTTTTTTTAAAGGTATTCTTACATTATTTTCGTTACATTTAAGCATAATTCTCATTTAAATTTTCATTAATGTGATGTTGATCAAAAGTAAAGGCATTATAAAAAAAATTCTATTTCAAATAAATGTCCTTTTCAACATTCTTTTCATTAAATAATCCTGAACTGAATACTCATCAAGGCTGAGTCAAAATACTGTTTAATTAAATAAATGCATAAGTAAGTAAGCGGTGGTGGTGTATGTGTTTATGTCAGAAGGTAGAGTAACAGTATTTGATGGTGACTCCTGAGTAGCTCCTCCTTTACATAATCCTGCTGCTTGGCAGATGCTCGTCTCCGATTTAGACTCGCATTAATCCTTGCTTTAAGTGCTCAGAGATGTTTGTTTGTACATGTCCCTTGTGTCCCCCCTGTACTCTTGAGTGGAATGGCGAAAAAGCCGACGGTAAGCTTTGTTAGACACAATATACAAATGTGGAGCCCTCAACAGGTTCAGCATCTGATGCTTGAGTTTCATTGGAACTCTTTATTGCTAACCTAATATTACTTTTGAACATTTTAGCGGGGACCACGAGCATTGCCATCTATGCCAAGGTAAGCTCACCTAGCAGATCAGATGTTGTTTAAATTGTAATTGTTTTATACAGGGAAGTCATATGCTCTTCTTTTCTTCCTTATACCTTCAAACGCACAGTCAGGACACAGCAGGTGAGTGTTTCTCTTTGAAATGTTTTTCCACATTTGAGATCTCTTGGTCCAATCTTATTATGTATTTGAGTAGGTAATAATGTTTAAAATTTGATGACGAGTCAGTTAGATTGATTTGCCTAAGGTAAAATTGCCGTTTATTGGTCAGTTAACATTAGATTATGTAATGAAGCTCTTCTGTTGTCCTTCAAAGAGGAGATTCCTGCTCCAAAGAGTAGGAAAAAGAAGGCCAAGAGGGATGTGGAGAGTGTGGATGAACATGATGGTGAGTTTAGGTGATATAAGCAACACACATGATAGGAGAGAGTGGGGCTAGTTGTCATAAGGGCTAAATCTCAGCAACTGTAAGGTCAAATGTCCAATGACTTGTTTCAAACCAGTGTTATTTTAGTATCATTGATATATTATTATAGTTTTTGTTAATATTTTGAATGAGATTTTATTTAAATAATCATTTTACTGGGGAACTTTGTGATTGTTTTTGTCATTTTAATTAGTTTTTATATGATTTTTGTATTTATAAATGTTAGTTCATTTAGTTTTATTATTTCAGTACTTCAAGTTAAATGACTTTTTATGGTTTTAGTCAACTATATTTTTTAAACACCATTTTAAAACTATCATAAATTTGGATGCTTTTGTTATATCCTTCAAACCATATTTTTTGTCATATCCTTTAAACCATATTTAACTGTTGGGAAACAATTGAAGATAATAAATGTGTTCATGAACAAATATAACATGATTTGATGGCAAATGGTTTGATCTTTTTGAATTTAGCCTTTTTAATGTTTTATTGATTTGTGCATAATTATTAAAAAATATTTAACTTTATTTTATTTTTGTCTTCAAGCTGCTATTCATTAGCAGGTTCCCATTTTGGCATGTTGGTGCAAAAGTGCTTCTAAGCTATTGGGTCTTTAAGTGGTTTAAAGTAGTGCAGTGCACTAAATCAGCAAATTAAA